CAACGTCAGCAGAAGCAGCGGTGCATGCACCCACACAGGACTGACGCTGCTGTCCGCATTCTTAGTGTCTTTGTCCTTGTCGGTAATTGGAGTGTCGCTCTTTTTTTCGGTTGTGGTGCCAGGGGAACTTGGTGAAGGAGGTGTGGGAGGTGGCTGTGATTGCACGGCATTATCACGATCACCTCCATCTTGAGTAGCAGACCCCAGAATGGTGTCTGTAGTGGGTGAATCATCAGCAGAGCTGTCTGCTCTGGGATTCTGCTCAGCAAGTGGCGAGGTATCAGGGATCGGTTCCCTCCTGTCGGTCATTGTGGGTTTACCGTTTATTTCGTTCTGCGCTTCGCCGTGTACGCTTTTGCTGTCTGTGTGGCTCGTAGCCCCTCTGTCCTTTTCATGTGGCGATTCACCATTCTCCTTTTTCACACCACCACTAGCGCCATGACCTGTCGTCTGAGGAACAGTGAGTTCCCCGCCCGCACCGTTGTGTTCTCTGGTACTCTTCATGTTTCCCTTAGTTGTGTCTATCTCCCCGACCTGCAGCTGTGACCGGGGTTCGGTTTGTTCTTGAGGATTCACACTTGGAATGTCATCAACTTTCTTCGGGCACGTTTCAGTCTGACTGGAATCACAGTGGCCATCAACGACCTCTCTCCCACCATCCTCCCCATTAATCCCGGAAGAAAGTTGTGGATCACTGTTACCAGAAGCTCGGCCACCTGATTTCAAATCGTTCTCCCTAGCATCCTCCTGAGATAGAGCAATCGAAGACACGCACGACTCATTATCTTCCGTTTGTCCCTTCTCGCAACGGCGTTTTCCATTACCGACACCTACACCATTAGTGTCAGACCCATTACCATCTGTGATATCACGTTTAGGCTCTCGTTCCATACTCGCGTCAACCTGGCAGCTGCCAGTCTTACCACCAGGGCAAGACTCACTTCCACCAGTTCCCTCGGAGCCTTGACAACCAGCCTTCTCTTTCTCCTTGCAAGTCTCAGGAACCTCGCGAGGCTTACACTTTTCATCGGTACTTTTACCTGTACAAGTGAGAGAGTCATAGACCTGACGATCATTTTCAGTATCAGGGCACTTTCCCTTAGGCGCAGAGCTGTCAGAACAAGAACCCGCACCAGCCTCAGTTAAAGAGTCACCATCAGCCTTTAAAGCGTATCCACCAACAGTTGGCACCTCCAATCGTCTCCGCCCATCCANAGCCTCAGTTAAAGAGTCACCATCAGCCTTTAAAGCGTATCCACCAACAGTTGGCACCTCCAATCGTCTCCGCCCATCCACCGCCGCACACCCGCAGGCACATGCCACGCAAAGGAAGCACACAAACAGAACACAGGATATCTTCTTCATCGTAGTCATAGTCTGCGCAAAAAAACAACCAGAAGCAAACAGCCAGTAGGAGAAGCAGCAAAAAGGCACGCCACGTACAGCAACACCTCCGCACACTGACGCAACCAAGAGAGACATCCCGAAAGAAACTCCTTCACTAGGAGAGCCCGAAATATCTCCGCTGTGGTGTGTTGTGCCCACAGGAGCACTCCCCAACAGCAAAGCAGCAAGAAGAAAACCAGATGTATCAACCCCCCGAATGTGTGTCCCTGCCCCACGCCC